CTCAGTTCAAACAGAAAATATATTCATGACATTCTCATGCTTTTTCTGACTATTTTCTAGTCATGTTAACTTCTGCTTTTTGACTAAGCAAGTTTTGTTTTTATTTACAACAAATTCCATCCATCCATTCATTTTATGCAGCTTAAAATGGTTATTTTGTCTTTCAAAGATTAGTGTAGGAAAGAGTCCACTTGTGTCTTGCCGCGTGGTGATGTGGTTCAGAGCTGTCACTCACCTTTGCTTAAAGTCTCATCTCCTCTTCCTTCTGCACTCAGTCTGCTGTGTCATTAACGTTGTGGAAGTTGTTTACATGCTTCAGATGTCTCAAAAAGCACTTCCTGTTTTGCTATTAAAGTGGCGCTTGTCTAGGAAATAACCATGAGACGACAGCTTGTCAGCGCGTTTGTGCTTGTGTACTGGTTAATTACTGACGTGTATGTGTGGCTCTTGTTTAAAAAAAAAAAAAAAAAAGCATGATTCCACTTCCTGTGTGTCTGTAAGTGGTCTGCTTTAATATGCTGCCTTTTTAGCTGCATGTTTTCCAGATTTCACCTTCTGACTTTTTTTTTTTCTCATCCCCCCTCCCCCCCTTGTGTTTGTCAATAACGTGCTTCCATGTCAACTCCTCTTGCCATGACAACCAATCAGCCTGTCAGTCAAATTTGCTCTTCTCATTCAGTGGATTGTACTCTCCCCCTCTCCACACAATAAGCTTGGGTGGGTTGGTATTTAGGTACTCGATGAGTAGAATAGATTAGTTTGTTAGTCAGGTGAGGACGTAGGTGGAGGATCGTGTGTTAGATGCAGCTTCTGTGAAATGTATACTACTTAGGTTTATTCATGCCCCACCATCAGTGTGATAGTTATCGAAGTATTCCCATTTCAGTGCTGCTGCTTGCAGATGTCTCACGTCTGCAGTGCACAGTCACCGGCTGGGCACTGTGTGCCAAGTTCAGCCTTTCTGGTACCCCAAGAGGAAAGAGAAACAGCTGAGTCACGGTGACTGCAGCCAGCACCTACTGCTTCGCTTACCTGCTAGTGTAGCATCTAAGACAGATGTAATCTTTCAGAGAGAATCAGAGCCTGATGCTCCCGTATCATTTACCGTTTACTAAATTAGGGTTTAGAAAAAGAATAATCAGCCTCCAATCTGCAGGAAGTTACTGAATCTAGTGCAAGTCATGGGTAATTTATCAAAGCGTAGATGTCTAGAGTAGGAAGCCCAACCCAGAGCTCTTAATCTTACGATGTGTGTCTTCTTTTTTTTTTTCTTTTTCTTTTTGTCTGTTTCTCTCTCTTTTATCAGGCCTAAGCCATCAAGACTATTCCTCCATCCTTCTCTCCTTCCCCAACACAATAGCAAAAGGATGTGTGTTGTCATTCCCTCTGGCCTTCTCTGTCCAACAGCTCCTCTGCCATTCCTGATGTTCCCCCCTCTCCTGCGGCAGAGACTCAGAAAGCCCCCCTCCTGGTTGTCACCTCTCTCCCCTGTTCAACTGACAGCTGCTGGGACGTTTGGTCTTCTCACCTCTGCTCTGTTTTCTCCTCCTTACTTTCTCTCTCCCTGTCCTTCCCTCTCACTAACCTGCGTCACCCCTTCCCCATGTCGGAACTTCAACTCTTTCTGTCACAAAAAAGACAAAAAAAAAAGAAAAAGTCATTGTGTGTAATCTTTCCACGTGAGGAAGTAACTCGCACATTTTTCCTCTATTTACACCCCCGTGTGTCTTTACCACAGGGGCACAGCAGATTTATTTATTGGCTCATAAGAGGAGCAGCCATTTATTGAAACAAGGCAGAATAGCTCCAGACATCACTCCAGCACATAACCAGATAAAGCGCTACAGATAATGAACTTCCACGGTTACTCTGCACTGTTCTCACTCCAAATTTGTTTGCCTTGAGCACAACAAATGACAGCTAACGTCAAAGCTAGCATCCAACCCGGTGCCTGTATTTAGCCATAATTGTATCTTTTTGGGTTTTTTGCCAGTGTGTATTTGACAGTTTGAACTAACGCCTGCGATCAAATGCTTAACAAGTTTTAAAATGAATGGTACTGTATAGTTTGACACGTTGACAGTCAGCGGGAAAAGTAAAGGGAGTGTTGCCAATTTTGTTTTGGGGTTGTTGTTTTTTTTGTGTGTTTATAGATATATTTGCTATTAATTTGTTTTGGTTTATTTTGTATGAAATTGTTTACATTTTCTAAATACTTTATTATTATGTGGCTCAATATAAAGGCAGTAGTATGTCAACATTGCGTTGCCCGCTGTGACGGGACCGGAACAGGATGGAGGCCAAAACGTGACGGCAGATTAGCCAGATCACAGCAAGCTGTTGTGTCGCCATGGTAATTTATTTTCAGCTTCTGCTTACTCGCTTCAGTGTGACCGTTTCAAGCTTTAGCAAAGGCTCTACAGTCACGTGCATTTACAAAGGGAATTGGCAACATTGGCTGACGCTGTGAAGCCCACACAATAGCAGAGACCTACTAGCACAAACACTGGCCACCTGAGTGATCTCTATATAGTTTAATAAATGGGCATAAATGCCCACAATTGCCTTGATCTGTTGGTGTAGCAGTAGAGGATAGCATCGTAAATCAACAGAAACCTGGATCCTACAGTAGTTGTAGTGTGTATTCATGTGTATGTTTGGTGGTACAGTCGCAGCGCCCACTCTGGCTATGGATGCTGTATTTTGAACACAGTTTGATGGACTTTTTCTCACACAGTTGTTTGCAAGTAAACAGTCGGTGAATCATGTTTTTAGACACCAGGAGTACAGTGCGAGTGTTTCCTCAAGATCAACATTATTTCAGATGTTTAACTAACTGAATGTAAATGATTTAACATCTTGGAAGTGTAATAGTAGGCTGTATTTATAGTTGACAAGTGCATTCACTATATGGCTTTTCATCATGCTACTCGCCTTGATTCTTCATTCCTTCCCATGCGAACTCCTATACTTCTAATGCAACTATGAACAAAATAAATAAATAATAAAAGACTGTGTCCATCACATAATTATGGCAATATTGTTGTGTTAGTGGAATGCTTATTTATTGAACTGTCTGTTCTCGACATATGTAGTGTGACTTTCAGTTTCCTAAAGAACATAAATGGAAAAGTCTATAACGCACTTAGTAAGTAGGATTGCATTATAATTACCATTCTGCATTGTGAAGGTTATTGCATCGACACTTGTTGGTATTCTCAAATAAAGTTTTTCCATTTGTGAAGTCTGTCTTTTCTCTGCTTCTGATGCAAACAGACACACACACACTCCTGCTTTGAGGTTTTAATGTCAGCTGCTGAGTCAAACAAGCAACAGACATCGCATCTGTACACACAGCTCCCTCTGCTGGTACTCCTGTAGTAGTGCATTGTGACAGCCACTTTATAGAAAAAGTTCCGTTTTATTTATATTGCACCAAATCACAACAGCAGTCGCCTCAAGGAGAAAAGGACACACTGGGAAAGCAAGACAAGTACATGTTGTATTTGCTGATTAGAAATTAAAACAGACACTTTACAAGTTGGTTGCTATTACACTTAGACACACACGCACAGGAGAATCTAACAAATGAATGAATGGATGGATTATTGCAATTAACTTTAAGGTCATTTTAAAATTTGTCTGAATAGAACATCCGGATTTTTATTAGTATGCTACTGACAAAATAAAACAGTCATATTTAAGTAAATCTTACAAATAAAGCTATTCATTTAAGGCAAATATGACAAATTAAACTGGTTACGCTGGTTTCTATTGGGCTTATGTAGAAGTGTGTCACAGTTTGTGTATGAAGATCATCAGATGTTTGCTGTGTTACCGAGTCCCAGGAACCTAAAACTGCATATCTACTCCACTCGTGTAACCATGGTTACATATCTTCTTAAAATCAATCTCTGCTTTCTTTCTGCTGAAAATGAACTTCAGATTATTCAATTTATCAGACTGCAAGGTTGCCGATTTCCTTCCAACATGAAGTTTCATGTTTGTTTTCCTTATGAATCAAACCAGCAACGATACGACAGATCTCTG